CAGGTCTACCCACCCCAGTCCACTATGTCGGTAGACCTGGTGTCTGGAGACCCAGTCTACCGACCTCCTTCCAGTATCTTGGTAGGCGTGGCCTCTGGAGACCAGGTCTACCCAACCCCTTCCACTATATTGGTAGACCTGGCCTCTACCCACCCCATTCCACTATCAGGACCGTTGTGCCAGTGAAGAGGCCAGGTCTACTACTGTAGTGGGATGGGGTGGGTAGACTTCCAGAGACCAGGTCTACCAATACAGTGGAATGGGGTGGGTAGACCTGTTCTCCAGACACCAGGTCTACCAATACACTGGAACGGGGTGGGTAGACCTGTTCTCAAGAAGCCTCTGGAGAACAGATCTACCTACCCCATTCCACTACATTGGTAGACCTGGCCTCCTGACAGCTACAATGCTGCCTCCCCCCCCGCTTCACAGGCGCTTGGGGGGAGCAGGGGAGGGGTGAAGGCGCTACACCGTCCACCTCGCCCACATTTTCGCCACTACCCCCCTCACTCTCTCTACATTTCTCCCTATGTCCTTTCATTCTTTCTCTCCCTCACTCTTTCTCCCTTCCTCCCCATTGCTTTGACTTCCTTCCCCCCAATTCCTCCCTCCCTCCATCTCTGCCTGTCTGTCTGTCTTTCTGCCTGTCTGTCTCTGTCTCCCCCCCTCCTACCTTCTTCTCTCTCTCTCCCAACCTCTCTATCTGTCTGTCTGTGTGTCTGTCTGTGGCCCACCCACCCACCTTACCTTTCTAGGGCCCGTTGACTTCATCCTCAACGGGCTTTACTGCTAGTATATAATAAATAAGTAAAAATTACATCTCATGTGAAAAAGTAAGCCCATTGTTTGTATACTGATTTTAACCTGGGAACCTCGAAACAGCTGTGGTTCCAGATATCTAAACAACCTCCAGATGTCTTTCTTTGGTCACACACACACACAGTACATCAAGTAGCGGCCAAGGAGATGGTCTTCTCTGAGACAGCATGACCATCTGGGGATCTCCCTGCCCCAGGATGTTTGACCATCACTGACATCCTTCAAGCCTCAGGCCGAAACGATGGTGTTTTCCTGGGCTTCTGGTCCCTGCCAAGCTTGATTTCCCCCTCCCGACCTCAGACATCTCTGTGTGCTAGACTTCCTGCTGGTGTTCAATAACGCATTTTGTTTACCCCACTTTTGAGCACGGCGAGCTGTCTCGCATGCTCGTGGTGGAAAAACAGGCAAAAAACGCGTCCCGAGGACAAAAGAAATTCGTGGCCCAATCTGAACCAGTAGTTCAGGGTGACTTGGGGAGAAAAGCTTTCCATGTGTTCGAGGAGTGCATAGGAATCTCAGCCTTTGACGTGTACGCATTTATGGATTTCTACCCTCTTTTCTCCCCAATGGGGATTTAAAATGGCTTACAACATCATTCTCCTCTCCTCCATTTTATCCTTACAACAACCCTGCGAGGTAGGTCAGGCTGAGAGAGTGTCTGTGTCAGCTACGTTGCCATGAAGGTTGGGGAGGTTGGTCTGTGTCTGGTTAATTGCTATTGCTTTCCTTTCAGGTTAATTACTACTGCATTCCTTTCTGTGATTTCTCTGCTGTGCGCCGAAACGCTTATCTATACAGATGTGCAGGAGGGTGTTGTAGTGTCTGGGATTTCCCTAGATGCCGTGGGAGAGTGTTCGTTCTCAGCTTCAGCTATCTAACAGTCTCTAAGCCTTAGCCCGCGCGCGGGAGGGCGCCTAATTGGCCAGTACTGTGGGGGGGGGGGGTTGTGCATACGAATACCCTATATCCTATTATGCCCATGGGGCCGCCGCCATTCTTAACAGTGCCTATGTTACTGCATCTATACCTCTGCAATAAAAGTATAACCGTTCCTGAATGTGTGTACTTCGTTGTTGGCTGTGGGTTCTGACAGTCTGGACCAAAGTCAATCAGCAAGCTTCCACAGTAGAGCGGGGACTGGAACCTGGGTCTCCCAGTACTTTAAGCACTAGGCCACCCTGGCTCCCATTGACAGGGGGCAGCATTTCTTAGGATGTGGGCAGACCGAACATCCTCTTCCAGTGTTTCCTCCAAAATGGTTCCCCTCCTCCTTGTATACCCTGGGAAGCTGGCGCCCGCTTCCTCATGCTCTGGGCTCCATCCTCACCCACACCAGGGGCCACTTACCATATACCACTGTTTCTGGAACCAAGGGTCCGTGGGTACCGCTGCAACTGTCCTCCGTGACCGTCTCTTCAAAGTCTGCTGCTCAAACCAATGGACCTGAAGCCGATTTTGAAAGAGCTTTAAGCACCACTGAAGAATCCCACGACTTAGTTTCCCATTTTACTAGAGCACCCCAGATAATTGCAGGAAAGTGTCTCTAGTGCGAAGGCTGGCCCATGTCATAGCAAAGCTCAGTTGTGAGGAGCCAGTTCACATAAGCACATGCCCCGCCCTGCATTGGAGGCGGCACTGTAAGGGTTAAAGGCATTTCATATCTTGGTGTAATCCTTACAGCATTCCTGTGAGGTAGGCCATCAAGAGTCTGAGGACGAGACAGAGAATGGCTTGTTCCAAGCCACTGGGTAAAGCATACTAAATCTGAAAAAACACTGTAATGAAGGAATACACACAAAATACTGTTTGAAATTACAAAAAACTTCTTAATTACAAAATTACAAAAAACTTCTTTAAAGATGCAGTACAAGTTGAATTTAAAGATATGAAGCTAAACCATAATACATGAGGTTAACCAGGGGTCATTTCCTGCCTGATGTACCCAGATGTAGAATACACATGCCTGGGTTCCTGCCTGATCTTCTAAACATGCCTCGGTTCTAAACATGCCCGATCTTCTAAACATCCCCGGGTTCCCTGCCCGATCTTCTCCAAGTGCCCCACAGCCACGGGGCACCTGGAGAAAATTGGGCAGGGAACCCAGGCATGCTTGCAGGCCTGCCCTTTGTCAGGGGGTGTGGCATATGCAAATGAGCTATGCAAATGAGCTCCTGCACCTCTTTTTCTACGAAATGACCCCTGGGTTAACCACATAGTATTAACCACGGCAACAGGTGTCCCAGGTAAATCTCCATTTTGAGGAAAGAGTTGAGGGGACTGGTGCAGGACTTATCCTCTGTTCCCAGTTGCACCCCACCACTCTAGCGTTATACCAAGCTGAGGAGCTCTACAATTTCCCTTGACACTATTAAGGAATTTACCATAATGATTACGGCCTGGTGAAGGGTCAAAACGGAGATTTACCTGGGACATCCCTTGCCGTGGTTAATACTATATGGTTTGTTGTTGTTGTTCAGTCGCACAGTCGAGTCCGACTCTTCGCGACCCCATGGACCAGATCACGCCAGGAAGTTAACTACATGGTTAACTTCACGTATTATGGTTTAGATTCATATGTTTAAATTCAATTTGGACTTGGACTGCATCTTTAAAGAACAGGTCTTTTGGGGGGGGTTTTGGAAAACAATTTACTTTTATTTTATGATGACAAATGAACAAAAACCAAGACAAACAAATTTACAACACAGACATAAAATAGGAGAATCTATCATTAAGTATCTCTTAGATTTTTTCTCTCTAATCACAAATAGGTTTCTACACCTTAAACTGTTTATTTAAAGTTTTGCACGTATCCCTATCAACATTCTTATTATGTTCTTTATACTTTCTACGAAGAACAGTTAATAAGAGGGTTTTTTTTTGTAATTTCAAATAGAATTTTGTGTGTATTCCTTCATTACAGTGTTTTTCAGATTGTATAGCCATTTTTTGTTATACACCCTTAATACTGGAGAAAGCATGGCAGAGCAAGAATTCTGAATCAGGGACCGCGATGGATCGCAGCCAGCTGCCACGTGGCTAACAGTCGCTCCATAATCATTAACGTTACAAGGGTGACGTGACGCTGTACAAACTGCAAATTGAGGAAACTGCTCACCGTGGGCTCCTTCTTCAGACACACGTGCCAACCCCAGTGCGGAATTAAAGACTGTTGCTTCACACCACGGTGCTCAAGGTGGTAATAGTCTCCCCCTTCGATCACCTGCCAGGGTAAGAGGACACACGTGAGTTTCAAAAACAGCGCCTCGCCTCACAAAACTGACACGGAGGGAATATTCATTCAAAGTCAATTCAAATTCCTCACTGCTAGGATGCCCAGCTCTGGGTAGGGAAATACAGAGAGATTTGGGGGTTGGATCCTGGGGAAGGCGGGGTTTGGGAAGGGGAGGGACCCCAGCAGGGTACAGGACCATAGAGCTCACCCTCCAAAGCAGCCATTTGTTCCAGGGGAACTGATCTCTGTAGCCTTGGGATCAATTGTAATACGGGGAGATATCATGGCACCACCACCCTATTTGTTTTGGCTATATTTTGAATTCACCTCTCCCCTGTCCTCCCATGCAAATCGAATCCATGAGTCCCACGCCACTATCTGCTGATTCGTGATGGATTTTTTGCACAAAGCATGCCAGGGTTTATAGTTACGTGTGCCAAGAGATCACTGTGACACAGATATACGACGTACGCCGTGTACCACATACAATACCCATGTGACGTACGCGAATAACACAAACGTATTGAGAAAACAAAGGGCGAAAAGCGAAAGAAAGAAAAGAAAGAGGAGAGGGAGTATTTCTTCACCCAAACATGTCAAAGCAAAATGCAGCGTGATCAAAGTGCGTGTTCCCTCTAAGCTGAGTTAGTGTGAGCTAGTTCACAGTTTTTTAGCCTCCGGCTCACACATTTTTGTCTTAGCTCACGGAGGATGGCTCCAGAGCAAACTAATTTATGCAGTAGCCGAATCGCTCGCTCACAACTTTAATTCCAGTGGCTCACAAAGTAGAATTTTTGCTCACAAGACTCCACAGCTTAGAGGGAACATTGGTGCCAGGTATCTTTTAAAAGACAATTCGGAACAACAGCAAAATCAATCCATTCATAATGGGAGCTACATCAAACCCGCCCGTCGGGGGGGGGAGGGGGGAGGTTGTAATATTCTAAACAACCAGCTGCACTTGTAACGCTGGCATCCAAGCCCCATAACTTCCGTTGCCCCAGAAGGTCGGACCAGAACCTACGGGTTGAAATCAAATCAGAAGAGTTTTCGGCTAAACATTAGGAAGGACTTTGCTGGCAGTGAGAGACTGACCTAAGATCACACCAGTAGTTTCATGTGGAGGAGTGGGGAATCAAACCCGGTTCTCTCGGATTACAGTCCGCGCTCCTAACCGCTACACCAAACTGGCTTCTCAGAACAGGTTAAAATTAACACATTTACCCCTGGTCTAAGAATATGGAATGTGATATACCAGCCTTGTGGAAATAGGGAACTCTATCTAAGCTGCTTTGAGTTCCACAATGGAAGAAAAGATGCATAAAAAAAGCAAACCTGCTTAATTTCTACATTGCATTTATATACACCTGAAGAATATTAGAGTTGCTTTCATGGACCAGACCAAGATCAAATGAAATCATCCTTATCTGGTCTGCATAAATTGCTCCGAGGCTCTAGGGCAAGAGCTGCAGCGGCCACAGCTTCCCTCCCTCTCCCCCCTCCCCTCCCACAAGGGCAGGCCTTACTTGTGGAGCATCTGGGTCCAGCTCCCTCCCCCCCCAAGGAGCCCCAGTGCCTCTTCCCACGGCACAGCACCAGGGCCAGCCTCTGAAATCACTGCCCTTCTCCTCCCTGCCAACAGGCTGACCGGCAATCAGGGGGAGTTGGGGTAGGGGAGCCAAGGCTCAGGAAGGGGGCCCATAAAAACTGCTAGGGGGCCGGGCCCCATGGGCCCTGCATTAGCTACGGGCCTGGTGGTGGGGGGGAGGCATTTGTGAATTTCCTGCATTGCGCAGAGGATTGGATTGCATGACCCTGGAGTTGCCTTCCAACTCTGTGATTCTAAGATCTCGTCGATGCCAGGGATATCACAAACACTTTCCGCCCTCTCAGTCACCCTTTCCCATAATGGTCCTTCCTCTCACTTCTCCCAACTGATTTAAGATGCCGGGTTGGTATTTCTAAAAAAAAAAAAAAAGGCGATGGGCCGGACGGCAGGTTCTGTCTGAGCCGGCTTTTATGAGGCTTATGATTATGTATTTTTAATGTATGTGGTTTTAATAACTGGAAGTCACCCAGATTTCATGAAGGCTGGCAGGGCATGAATATTTTAAGGAAATAAAGCAAGACGATAGTCGAACTCAAACATTCCCGACCTTGTATACTACAAGAATAGAAATGTATGTCGTGATTCTATACAAGTTGTCAGGGATGCTCTAGGCGAATCCTGCCCTGAGCAGGGGGGTTGGACTAGATGGCCTGTATGGCCCCTTCCAACTCTATGATCCTACGATGAGAATAAATTCACGATTTTCTGTGAGCTCTCCCAAGCAAAGAGGCTGCTTGCTGCACCTCTGTGAGATTCACAGCACTGGCCTCGCCTCCTTCCAGGTAGACTCTGCTGGGGCTCTGCACCAGAAGCAATCGGATTATTTGGTTGCTCTCGGGGCAAAACAGCAGCTAAATCAGCTTTTCTCTGAAGAGAAAATCTGCATGACTAGGTGGTTTGGGGTCGCCTCTTTCCCCTTTCACTCCAAAAACAGCTTCGCTCACCTCTCCCTCTCCCTGTTTCACTAGGAAAACTCACATCTCTTCTTATATATAATTGAGTTTTGGTCCCACAACGTTCTATGCACTCCAAAATCAGTTGGCTCCGTGATGTGTCAATCACAAGGTGTCTCTATCCACTGGCTGTGTTGCCTGAGTTCTCTCCCACCCACTGCAGCCTAGGCCACTCTTTTCTGATTGGGCCAGCGTTTCAAGATCATTTGCATATGGAAGCTGATTGGACTTCACTCCATTCTGCACCTCAAACTCCCTCCCCCCCACGAGACAGTTGGAACTATCAGTTGCATATGTCCTCACTCACAACCCATCACTTCCCCTTCAAAAGAAACAAACCCAATAACACAATCATGCCACACCACAAAAAAGACAGATCACACCACAAGCAGAATTGTTGTTGTTCAGTCGCACAGTCGAGTCCGACTCTTCGCGACCCCATGGACCAGATCCCGCCAGGCCCTCCTGTCTTCCGCCGTCGTCTGAAGTTGGCTCAATTTCACGTTCGTTGCATCTATGACACTGTCTAACCATCTCATCCTTTGCCGTCCCCGTCTTCTTTGACCTTCAATCTTTCCCAGCATCAGGGTCTTCTCCAGGGAGTGCGCCCTTCTCATTTGGTGGCCAAAGTATTTGAGCTTCAGTTTCATTATCTGGCCTTCCAGGGAACAGTCAGGGTTGATTTCTTTTAGGATTGACTGATTTGATCTTCTTGCAGTCCAAGGGACTCTCAAGAGTCTTCTCCAGCACCACAGTTCAAAAGAATCTATTCTTCAGCACTCGGCCTTCCTTATAGTCCAACTCTCGCAGCCATACATGACTACTGGGAATACCATTGATTTGACCATGCGGACTTTTGTTGGGAGGGTGATGTCTCTACTTTTTATCATGCTGTTTAGGTTTGCCATCGCTTTCCTCCCAAGGAGCAGGCGTCTTTTAATTTCATGGCTGCTGTCACAGTCTGTGGTGATCTGGGATCCCAGGAACGTGAAGTCTGTCACTACTTCCACGACTTCCCCTTCTTTTGCCAAGGAGTGATGGGGCCGGATGCCATGATCTTAGTTTTTTTGATGTTGAGCTTCAAGCCCACTTTTGCGCTCTCCTCTTTTACCCTGAGTAAGAGGCTCTTTAGGTCCTCTTCACTTTCTGCCATTAGAGTGGTATCGTCTGCATATCTGAGGTTGTTGATCTTTTCCCCAGCAATCTTAATTCCCGCTTGTGATTCATCTAGGCCAGCATTTCGCATGATATACTCTGCATATATATTAAATAAGCAAGGCGACAATATACATCCTTGTCGTACTCCTTTTCCTATGCTAAACCAATCAGTTGTTCCATATCCAGTTCTAACTGTCGCTTCTTGGCCCTTATACAGGTTTCTCAAGAGACATGTGAG